TGCCCAACATTTCGTCGCTTATTTTTGCTTTGGCACCACAGCGCCACTTACAGGCCTGGCATACATTTTGCAGCTTTTTCATGCATTCGTGTGGACGCTCACATTTATTTTACGTCTCCGTCTTTACGGCAAACGTTCTGGAAAATATTAGCGTTTCGTGTTCGTTTTGACTTCGTGTGGACGGGGCCTAAATGGAACCTTTCAAGTTAGACTAATATATTAACGACAAGAAAAAAGTCAGATTCTTGAAGCCAATATTGCTTCTTTCTTTATTTACATACAAAAAGAAACAATGATAACCGATGTTACACACGTCTCAGCTCAAACAAAAAGAAACTTTCAAGTCGCAGACGACCTGGTTTCTGAGCATAAACCAGGCTTAATGGTCCCTCAGCGGCTGATGATCATCTCCCCCTAGTGGTCTTGAGTATTTCCATTATGCAGAGCTACTTTGCTGTTTTTTTGTTTATGCTGGTTGCAGCATTTGATTTCTTTTTTGCATGTGCTTGGAGTTAGCATTATTTTTGTGCTTGCAGCAGGTTTGCACCCTGCTCCTCTATTCTCTGCCAGTTCAGCAGTGTTTCTCCTTTGCATATTTTCTGTGTGTTAGTATTTTTTTTTTGGGTTTGTGAGGCAAATTTTTATTTGCTACTGCAGAACTGTTAGTTTTCCTCTGCACATTTATGCATATGCAGCACGTTTGGAGCAGTGGTGGCTGGTGAAAAATATTTTTGGTAGGGCTGATATAGCCTAGTGTATGTCTCCAACTAATCCAGAATAAGAATTCAAATAAACAATTGGACAATAAATACAATTTAACAGTAATGATTTCATTTACTATATAATAACAGTAACAGTGATGATTTTGGTCACAATAACCATGACATAAAATGTTCATATCCTACAACAGGGATGTTCTTCTGGCAAACGGGTGGATAAATAAGGATCTCACCGAATTTGGTGGAAGCTGCACCTCGCTCGTTACGTTCGCCATCTTCCCTCTAATTGTCTGCACCTGCGCATTGGGTGCAGAAGCCTGTTAAAGGGCGGTATTTTCAGAGCCCCAAGACCATAAA